TTATGGACAAGCTGAATAACCGCTTGGAAGCAGTGACGAGCCCCACCACGATCCAGCGAGCGTGGCTATGCTCCAGAATAGGTTCTTACTTTCAGTGTCAAATGATTCGTGTGTTCCGGTGGTGCTACACATCGCAAAGACACATGTTTTTATTTCAGTCTGATACCCCAAACCCTATTAAACCTTTACCCTGAAATCCTGAACCCCACAATCCGGAATCAATGACTTCTCAACATGCCAGCTTAGGCTCCTCAAGCAGAGCAAGGAGCTCACAACCAAGCTCGATGCCGGCATCACCGTTCTCACGGATGCTTACTCGCAAAAGGTGGTCTCTGGACTCCCCAGATCGAATCTCGGCTAAGCCCTACAAGACCTGAATTGTCATAGCCCAGTCGCAGAAGTCCGTAGCAAAGGCAAGAGAAGCCATTGATTGACAAGATCGATGAGATTGTCGCATTGCCATCACCTTAATTGTGTTGCCAAGTTTTCGGGAGTCATGCTTGTCAAAGCTGGCAGCAATGTCTCAGGGCTACCACATCGCTGTCTTTGGAGACACGTGCCAGGCTAGCAATGCAATATCAGCACAGCACCATTCAACAATGCATCGTATGAGCACCCTGAAAGGCCCTTCTTGCCGAAGGAGAAGCGCGAAGCTGCTCCCCGAAACGCCGTGGAACCAACCAAAAGCCGAAAGTTAAAGCCAAGCCCAAGGTCAAGCAGGAGAAGCTGTCGCCGAAGGGCAAGCCTGGCAAGGGCTGTGGCAAGCGCAAACGCGTATAGAAGTTTGTGGTCGCTGCAAAGCGGTTGATCACGGGCTCCGCCCTTCATGCTGTGGGAAGCATGTGTGGTGAGCCTCGAGTTTTGATGTTTGGGCCAGTACAACTTCCGAGGGTCATGGTCCGAGCAGTGATGTGAATCGTGAGGTCACGCATCTGCGAAGCGAGAGCACAAATTCCAATGCACTGTCGGGTTGGAGTGTTGCTCGAGCTACTTATAATGAATTAATGCAACTTCCCTCTCTTCTGCCAGGTCCTCAACCGACTGAACCAGACCGCCTCACTGAAGCTTTTGCTGAAGCTTATGCTGAGTGTGCGCCTTGTCCTGCAAATCAAAGGAGCACTCATACCCATTTGACGAAACCCGATTCCGATTCCCCTGTGGCCCGGCTGCTTTAAATAAACTTGAACCCAAACCCCAAAGTCCTAAATGCCATTCCCCCCCAAAGTCCAAAGCTTTGCCCCTGAGTCTGTAATCTCATCACATCTGATCCCTGATCAGCCCCCTAGCCTAACTAAGGTACCAGCTACTACTTTGTCCAGCCTCACAGTTGCAGCAGCAGGGGATGATGCTGGCCTGAGCCGGGCTCTTCCGAGCGGGGCCGAAGCAAATGCTTCCAGGAATGCTCGGTCATTCATCTACCGATGGGGTATGGTATGGAAAGTTCCCATTAGTGTCTTCCACTGCAAACATGATGGGCAAGATCTGGAAGTTCCATACATTTCGCCGCTGGATTACATAAAGTACTTGCTTGAGCGAGCTCCTGAAGTATTGTTCGGTGGTCTAGGTATTGTGGAAGGTCAGAAGATGCTGAAATCCTTTTGGCAAACCTACAGGCAAACACACGGCTCGCATGAAGTTTACCGGGAGCATTCATCAACCACGTCCTGTGTGATACCGGTTTGTGTTCATGGGGATGAAGGCCGGGGGCTGAAGAAAAGCAACACGTGCATCTTGATGCTTGAGGCGATCTTCGGCATGAGCACTGCCGAAAATATTCAGTGTTCGAAGCATTTCAACTCTTGTCAGTGCTGCTCACAGCATGGGCTGGACCTCGAAGAACCTTGCAAGACTGATGCTGAGCAGGACGGCACAATTCCAGTTTCTGCATTCCAAGAAAACAATTTGCAACATCATCCATTCCTGACGAAGTTTATACTTTGTGCACTCCCGCACAAACTGTTCAAGAAGAACAACGTGTTGGAATTATTGCTACAACAGATCTCTACAGAGCTGCGACAGCTCTTCTACGAAGGAGTATACGCTCGTGGATCGTACTGGTTTGCCAGTGTCATTGGCCTCAAGGGCGACTTAGCATGGTTCGCGAAGATAGGCAAGCTCACAAGATGTTTTAGACATCTAGCAGCAACAGATGTTGGCTGCTGCCATGAGTGCAACGCTGCGCAACCTGGCCAACCTTTCGAGGAGGTTGGTCGAAAGGCTGCATGGCATGACAGTGTCTACGAAACACGACCATGGTCCGATCACGATCCTCCTATGTTCGATAGGATTCCGTTCGACAGGTCCGCTCCTGAGAGAATTATGAGGAGAGATTATTTTCATTGCAGCAAGATTGGCACTTTCAGAGATTTCGTGGGGAGCTCTCTGCTCCTCATTCTCCGACTTGGCTATTTTCATGTGGCCGATGGACCGAACAATCGAAAGGTGCTCCTTCAACGGGCCTTTGGCAAATTCCTGTTATTCTGCAGCACCGTTGGCAAGCATCCAGCTATGCATTCGTTTACGAAGGACAACTTCAACTGTTCAAGCTCGAAGAAGTACCCGTGGTGCAAAACCAAGGGCAGTGACACTATGCTGCTGATCGACTGGTTACGGTATCTTAGCAGAGCTTGCTTGAACGATCCATTGGATGAACGCTATATCGACATATTGGAAAAGATCAATGGGACTGCAACGGCTGCCACTCTATGGGCCAAGGCGCTCTACAAGCACGGCATGTGGTTGCCCAGGTCATGTGCACAAGCCCTAGCAACACACGGGCATGCATTCCTGAAAGGCTACACTGCTCTCGCTTTTGCCTGTCTGTACTCACCACCGATGATAGAGCTGGAGTTCTGCGGCTACGGAATGAAACCGAAAATGCACCTTTTGGCCCACGAGATTCATGATTTACATCGATGGCTAGGTAATCCGGCCATTACTGCACTTCCGAATGCTTTGATGTATGGATGCGAAGCCAATGAAGACGTGATTGGCAAGATGTCTCGAATTATTCGTCGACTTCATCAGAAGCAAGTAGCTCGTACAGCGCTAGAAAGGTATCTAATCAAAGCGAAGATGCTTTACACAAGCTTCAAGCGGGGTGACAGGACGAAGGTTTCTCGAAAGAGAAAGTTGAGCCCTCGGCCGGAGAGGAAGCTGAAGAAGTCAACGTCCATGGCCATCCGAAAAGAAATCTTCTCTGTGGCCGGAGGGTTTGAGGTTTCGGGTAGGATTTAGGAGATAAGCTTCAGACTTCGTGTATTTTGCTTGGATCGTTTATGCTGAAGGTCCGAAGGAATATGGTTTTGGGGTCTTGGGTATAATTATGGTTCCTCTACCGCGAAGACCCCGAGACCCGTATCCACATTGGAAGGCTCCGATCGATTAGGCTAATTAAGCCCTAAACCCTTGTTTTTCGAGAAGAAGCCCCTGATCCCGGATTACGAAGCCGAGCTTACCTGTTGAACACAAGTAGCACAACCCTCAAGCCCTCTGAAGCCAAATGCGGCCGCAAGTTTGCGAGAACAATCCATAACACTATCTCTTATCCATGACCCCAAGAACACTTAAAGTCGGAACTAGCCCAACTACTTTTTTTCTACGCAGCGCCTTTTTTATTATCGATCGCCTGAATTTATTAGTTCTTTGTATAACGCCTTTTACTATCGCTCCCACGAGGGTCCAGGTATATATATATATATAATATTATACAGAGAGAGAGAGTCATCCCTGAGCTACTTTACAACCAGCGCCAATTGCCTATGACGGGTCTTTGGACAGCCTTGCTGTGCTCACCAATGAAGCCAGGCTTGACGGCCTTCACCTTCATCCTTAGATTCACGCTGCATCCTCAGTGATGTCATCCGTGCTTAATTTGTGCAACTTATCGTTCGTATCGTACTGAGCCTGGCATGCATGCAAAGGAAGCATAAGCAGGCACAGGGGTCTCTGTGCGCGCTCTGTGAACGATGCAGTGATGCTATTTTTCGTCCACACATTGCACTTGCTCTTGGTTGCTGTCTGATGCATGTCCAAAGAGAACCCCAGCAACCCAGGCTCTAACGAAGCACAACAGCAGTAAAGACGTGCAAACCAAGCTGTCTCCAAGCAACCCAGGTGCTATGGTCCTGAACGTCTGCCCTTCCCTTGATGGATCTTGATGATCTATCCATGTTCGTACCGGTATACGGCATCAGCAGATCGATGTGTACAGCATCAGCAGATCGATGCATGACAAGTCTCGGCAAGCGCATGCTGAAGTCCAAACCGAGGGGACTTTCGTAGAACCATATATCTCTCCTGACGAGTTTCTCATCGTGCGAATGGATCACAAGCCCAAATCAGGCGATTGTGCATGATTGCAGGAATTGCGTCGGGGCACGTGGTTACCCCATCTGGGAGCAGGAATGTTATCACGAGCGGCGCCGAGGTGAATCCAGGATCCTCGCCTTGGCAGAAGCAGCTGCGCAATCTCTCGTTGTCCAGAAAGATCTATATGTGAGTGCTGGCAACAACGATGCTTAAGTTCATGGGTCATGCATGCTGATGACCACTGCAAGCCTTCACAAGTTGACAACAAGGCGCGGATGGCAACCTCTGCAACCATAGTCTCGTGGTCGCCGTCTGGCGACTTTTCTTCGGAACAGCAAATTGGAATGGCCCCCATCGCAGCTTCCAGGAAGGAACACTATGCGCAGTGGCCGATTGTTGGGCTGAATATGCCAGGGAGGCTGCATGAGCGCGATTTCTCGTTTGAAGGCACCGAGCTAGGGCATAAAGATCTCATGTCTGCTTCTTCGCACAAATTATCACCCAACCTGACTTGCTAGTAGCAGCGAATGCAGAGATCATGTTGGGGAGCACTGCTTGAAACAGGCGCCTGCGAGCCAAGCAAACCGAGAACAACAACAGGGTTCAACCTGAAGCCATGCACTGCGAGAGTCGAGAGAGTCGAGAGACTTGCAGATGCGACTCGAAAAAAAACAGTTTGAGCGTCCGACAGAGCATCGGCTGGCCACGTGATTTCAAGCTTGTAGGCGCCTGGGCCGTGCTTCCGCAGCTCTTCTTCTGCTTTCAAAGGGCCGAAACATCTGTCTCGGGTCCAAGTCCAAGCCACCGTGCCGAATAGGCAGAACGCTGCGCAAACCTTGTGCTACAGCGACTTTCGCATAGCTGCAAGTGCAAACCGTGACCGGATGCACATTGCAACGGCAGTTGATGGTTGCTGTGAGCCTCGCTTCCAATGCGACTCTCCGGGTCCAGAGTCTTGTCCGAAGCCCGGGCTGAAGCATGTGGCGGAATCTGGTCAACACAGCAACACTTGCAAAAGCTTCGACATCATTTTTATACTCAAGCTACGAAGACTGCAAACTGCCGACGGTTGAATATCGAGATCTCCGTGCCTCATGGTTGATGTCCGTGCCAAGAAAAGCACTCGCCCAGCATCGGATCACCTCTTCTCAACAGTGCAGCGTCCTTATCACCTCGTCTCTCACACGGCTCTGAGCTGCAGGCATCCCGCAAAATGCGACGGTTGTTGAAAAACACCTGCCGATCGCAAGGTCATCCTTGCGCACTGCTAGTACCTCTGCCATGCAACCCTGCGATGTGCACGTCTAGCACCGGCGGTCTGGCTGGTAGTCTGTCTAGGCAAAACCCAGGGTGTTAACTGCGTGGAAGTTGGCTGTTTATCGTGGAGCATGGCCTTCCACACTGGAAAGCTTCGGCCAGGAGCGGTGGCAGTGATGGACAGCAGCGTCACTGCACAGGTGACAGCCAAGGGTCAGTACACGTGCAACTTTGCCACGGCTGGCAGTCTAGCTGGAGGACTTACGAAGCAGAAGGCAAGACGAGCCATGTTCAGGAGATGCTCCAGCATGAGCAGCAAAAAAGAGTAACCGACTTGGCGTGGAGGTATGCTGTGCCAAATTCCGCTAAGCGGTGCCTGACCTGCCGAAAACCGCGGGAGCTGTGAGGAGTTGCACAAGATTGAACTCATGCCATTGAAGGCCTTTTCCGAGAAAAGATGCCGCGCTTTGGGGCGTAAGACATTACCGGTGGAAAGTCGGGCTTTGCCTCCATTCCGTTGGACTAAGAAGCCTACATAAAGGAAGGCGGTTCGAGGTCACGATTCATCGTCGCCAGGTCCAATTCGGCTTAAACTAAATCACGTTTCGCAGATTCCACGTACTGCTTGACATGGATCGGAATTGGAGCGACAGCAGGCTATTGCAGCACTTCATGGCTGCAAGGGTGTCGGTCCAGCGCCGAAGGCAAGTAAGGATATCTCTTTGCGAACCTTGTGAGAGAAGGTCAACAACATTTCATCTACATCTTAGACAGTCGCTGAGCGTGGCAACCTCACGCGCGAATGCAAGTACAAGTGGCTCGATCTGCACTTGGTCGACACGACGGCTGCATGCTTCCAAATTCAGCTTTCCATTCCAAAAGTCGTTTTGGATTCCTTTATCCAGGCCAATGTCGTACTCGAAGCCGCCCAAGTTGCAGAACGAGACCTAGGACATGCCGCGCCGCCGTACCATCGGTGCATCCCCCCAGTAATTCTCGAGACAAGGCTCCGGATCTGTTATGCCAGCAAGGTCATCAAGCAACACCTTTCGGCAAGGTTTGCATGATGCCGGCAGATCGCACTGAGTGTAGGAAGATGCCAGCCTCCCCTGCATAGGTCGCGGTCCAGGTGCAAGTATGATTACCTGAAGTTTACTGAAGGATACTATGCATTGTGTGTCACTGCAGGTGCCGGGACAAGCAGGCAGACACTGCAGCTAAGGCACCGTTCGGAACATCACCTGTTGGCAGTCGTTTCGTGGACAACAGTGCTGGCGCGTTTGTGTCCCCTGCGTTTCTCATGTTCCTCATTCTGACATCTGGGCGGCGGACAATATCCACCGGGCTCTTCAAGCTCGCATCTTTCTGTTTTGCCTAAGAAACATACAGCTGCCTGCCGTCCTCAAGCACAAACCCTTTGGCTGCAACCAGCCGCATCACTATACCGCCATACCGACAAGGGCACGCTTGCAACAGGTTGCGACACAAGAAACAAACGTAGCAGCAGCAGCAGCAGCAGTAGCAACGCCACTCGATGTGCCAGGACATGAAATTGGACTACCGTTGACAAAAAAACTAGACAATGCAGCTCCAGCCACCTTCGAGCTCTTGCGTTGGGCATCGCCCAGGGAGTGAATACCAAATGGCATCAGGGTAAAAGGCCTCACTGTGAGCTAATGGCAGCATCCTGGCGCTATTCTAGCTTTTCGCGCCTCAATTATAATTGCTCAGGGCACGACTGTGGACTGCCTCGGGTCAACTCGGACACAGCCCACATTGTAGCCGTACCTGAGCCATACTAACAAAGACGCATTGCCATTTCAGCAGAATCTCCTTTAATGTGTCGATGTTAAGGATGACGAATGCTGCAGATTATGATGAACTCTGACACGTCTGCAACAAGATCAGCTAGAACAACGATGACTGAAGGCGGGGGCGCAGTGGTTTGTCTGCCCTGCTGTCCGAGTTGCTTATCCCAGTGAGTTGCCTGAAACAGGTAGCAACAGCACAATACTGAAACGCATGAACCGAAGGAGCCGCATATTGGCCGCGAACTGGGGAACAAAAGTTTTTGAAGCAAGTCAGCTCATGGTCTGATCTCCACGAGCCTTGAAGGTGGGGTCCTGCACTTTGCCCTTGGTGCCACCGCATGAATGCATTGCCGAATTCACACTCTCACCTCTTGAGTCCAAGCTGCTTGTCGGAATTCTCGGAAGCCTTTGCCGGAAAAGAAAACGCTCAAGATTCAGGCTCTCAAGGGCGGTTGGGCCTACCGCGCTGACTGCCAGGCATACGTGTCGTGTCCAGGGACTGTCGAACAAGTGTTTGCCGTTCTGATAAAGCTCGTCGGTCGGCTTGGTCGTGACAAAGAATCGCTCAATACCTTTCCGTGCACAGAGTGTGTAATTCGTCCATGTGACTGCTCTGACATCTTCCAGGCTTGAATTGGGGCAGCGACGGTCGATTCCGTGCTTGCGCGGACATTCTGTGACGATGTGATTGTGCAGATACCTCACGGGGAGTGGGTGAGCGCTTGAAAGGAGCTGCGCATCTTAGCTTTGCCAGGCGAAGCCCTCCCTCAGGCCCGTGCCAAAGAACACCTTGCAAACTGCCTCAGCCAAGTAGTGTCAGAAAAGCTGCTTGTACACCTTCAGAAAATCTCGGACCGTTTCGTAGTCTACAGAATGCATAAGTAGCTTCAGCCAAGACTCCCATGTTCGTGCTCAAGTTCAGCTCACGAGGCCAAAACGGTGAGGACGCCTGCGCACAGTACTACCTTGCTATGCTACATGCTGCACAGGGCACAGGAAACAACTGCAGGCCTGTAACCTCGAATCAGCTGCACGAAAAGAGAAGCGCATACAAGGGCACAAGCAAACATCTTAACTGCTGTCCTTTGCTTTGGGTGTTGAGCCCTCTGCTACACTTTCGTGCGCCTGCCGGATGCGTCGCACGTCTCAGAAGAAGCTAGTACCGACAGTCGCCATCAGAAGGAGCCTTGATCTCAAATCTGAATTGTCAAGAACCCCGAAAGCAAGGCGGGACCGAAGTCACCGTCCCTACAGGCCGGCTCGAAGTGTCGAGTCTTCAACAGTCCGAGTCCAAGCATTGGACTGTGAGCTTTCCATCTCACGTTGGAGACGACATGTCTGGGTTGTCCGTCGTGCACGGGCAGCTGCGATGCGCTTAGTTTCCATACGTCGTGGGGCATGCAATTCCAAACTCAACAACAGTGGAAATGAGCTGCTTAATATCGTCATTTCGCTAGCCATCGAAGTCGCAAGCTGGCGAGCTAACAGGGCTTCGCTGTTTCAGATCACTTTTTCTGAGCTTTCTAAACGTGATTTTTGGAAGAGGCGGGCCCTTCTCAAACCCATGGGCAGCCTGCTAAGCTACTTGTAGGCTTTGCTCAAACATGAAAGCAAATTTCATTTGAGACTTGGGGCTTGGATTTCAGCCCGAGTGTCCGAATCAGAGCTTCCGGATTCGGATAGCATGGTTATGGCGCTGTTTGTTATACTGCTGTACTGAGCGGGTTCTACTGACGCTGTGAACTATTGTTGTGTTTTTCCGTCTACGCGAAGTGGAAGGCTAGGGTACATCGTACGTCGTAGTGTTGATGGCCTGCCGCCACACCACCAGCTTAAACTTTGCCAAGCTGTTCGCAGTTTTTCTGATGAATTTCTTTATTGGATATGTTTTTTTACATCTGGGCCTCTCCCGAATTCCCAGGCCTTGTACATGTAGAATCCGGTGGATGGAGCCGTGTCTGGCTTCTTGCAGCCACCGTATCCATCTGGAAGCTCTCCCACTCCCACATCACAAACACCCGTGGTGGGCACCTTAGCCAAGCGCTCTTTCTGACCGTGCTTGCTCACGGGGAGGAAGGAACCATTTCATCAGCAATGACCCAAAAACTTGCCGGCAGAAGTAGTGCTGCATGTTCAAATTTTACCAACACGTGTTGATACAGTCAAGTCCAATATGATCGAGACCAACGCTGCAGATCCGAGCCACACACCGATACTCGTTGCTAACTCTGAAAGAATACGCGCCCTTGCACTCTGGGGCGTCCAGGGAAAGAGCCTTCTGCATGCAGCAAACATTTCCTGCCAGGGATGGCTCTTTGCTTTGGCCTATCCGCAAAGTGGGGGTTTCCGAAAATAGGTGGCCCTAATATAGTACCCTTAATAATAGGATCCTTATTATAAGGACCCCAAAATACGGTACCCCTAATTTTCGGAAATTCCCAAGTCAGTTACGAAGCAGCTCTTCGCCTGAACCGCACCAGTCGCAATACCCACTGCGGCCATTGCAGTGTAACAGGCAATCCTTACGTTGGACAAAGGACCCTCAAACCTCTCAACTTGATTTCAACACAGGCGACCCTACCTAACTACGAAGGCCACGAGGATAGAAATGCTTGGATTTTCCCAAACAGATTCGTCCATGACGAGGATCTTGTGATGCATGCTTCAGAAAAAAACGCTTTGCTGGCGTCACGCAGGTATGCCACTTGGTGGTCGCGAAGGTAGCGCCTCAATAAGTTGACAGCTGCAGGCAGGCAAAACTGACGGTGCCGGATGGGGTTGAGTCTTCCGAGTCTTCCGTCTGAGACAGCTCTTGCCGAAACAAAGCTGATCAATTATGCAGCTTTCCGAAGCCCTTATCCCAGTGTTTCGGCAAGTTGCCTTCGCACTCTGGCGGGTCCAACTTTGCACCCTGCCGGCAGCAGGCGTTTCCTATACCGCACCAGGCACAATCGCCGGATGTGTTTCCACAAGCTCGCCAGCAGTCTTCGCCTCGGGCACACTGAGAAGCAATGCCTCAACAAATCCTCAAGGGCCCAAGAGCATGGCTTGATCCCGGGCCTGCATGCTTCAGTGCTGCGGGTGGCCAGGAGTGGTTCTTTGCACTCGTCGTCGTGGCCACAGATGCATGTCCATAAAGCAAAGCCTGCAAGCCGAAGCTCTCCGTCGAGTTTCTGGGTGTTCTACTGGTAGCATGTTCCAGCATTTTGCTTGTGCGGGGCCGGCCTGCTGAAGCAATCGAGTCGTGTTCACGGGCGGGGGCTGGATGCTGTTCGGCTCGATTAATACTGGAGCTCCGCCGACAGCTGCCAACCCAACTAGTCTGGTAAGAGACAGGTCATGTGAAGGATGCGTCGCAGCGAAGCAGGTGATGGCTAGCGCAAGCACAACCACAACCTGGGAGAAAAAGTTGACAATCAGTTTGCTCCACAAACAAAACTCACCAGGACGCCACCAAGATGCAAACAGGCGACTATAAAGAAAATAGATAGCACGCGGCAAGCAAGCCGAGAACCAGTTCGGTCATGACTTGGCCGTGCATGTAGCGTCCTGGACAGCGCAGTTCAAGGCTCTAGTGCGAAACAAGCACGAATCTTCAGCTTCCCATTCCCGGCCCAAGCAGGACTTGATTGAAGCCAGGGGCTGTGTCAATAGCTGGCCCGTCTCATCGACTGCCAGTGGTTGGAGCTCCATCGCTGTCGAGCGGTGTTGTGTTAGGAGCTAAGCTTACATCACTGATGGTCGACCGTTAGATACATGAACAGTTCCTAGCGGCTTGCGGAATCTGCATGCCGCCACTCAGGCTGGACTTTCCAGCATCTCAGAGGTAGTTGGCCCAAGGGCTCTTTGTAGTCTCAGAACAAGCTTGAAGATTCATCGCAACATGAATCCTAAAGGCTTCAAGAAAGGACATGCCCTTGTAGAGTCGAAGGGCAGCGCTGGGCGGCCTCGAGAAATTTTCTGGGATCTGGATGTCTCCTGGCGAGGGAAAATCTCAAAGAATCTGCTTGGAGCTGTGCGCAAGTTGCCTTCGCATGGGGACTCACCATGAAGACATGGCCGTGACAGTTCGATTGCGAACTACGCGTGACAAGGAACTCTGGTAGAGGAAGTCTTGCAACACATCTCCCTCTCACAAGTCTCTACTTCTGCCTCCTGCTCAGATTACAGAAAGAGATTGCAAGAGCTCCATCTCTATGCTTACTTCTTGCGCCCATGATGCCTTGAACCTTGAGGCTCGCGTTACATGCGGCGTAGGGGTCCAAACAACTAGGGGCAGGCATCAGTCAGCCCGTGCTTGCATGCTCAGAGCTCACGTGCTTTTCCGATCACTGTCATAAGCAAAACGGTTCGCGGTACTGCTACATGAGAGGCCTTGCAAAGCGAAGCGTGATAACGTAGCAACCAGGCCTTCGCAGTGTGTGACTATCTTCTGCCCTATCCAGCTTTCGTAAACAAACAAGGTTTTGTATCAACATGTCATTGATGGTGATGCTGATGGTGACGATGACGATGATGATGTTGATGATGATGACGATGTCGATGATGATGGTGAGGTGATGGGATGGTGATGGGTGGTGACGGTGATGATGACGATGAACAGGGTGACTGTAATGGTGATGTAGTCGTGGGGAGGAGTGTCAAAATGATGACGGTCATGATGGCTATTCTGATAGAGGTGATTTGGGGAGGGGCCTGTTGATTGAAGATCTCGGAGAGGAGTCAGTCGATCGAAATGTTGGTGATTCTTACAATGAAACTGCGTGATTCGTGTCATTGTATACAGAAATGTGTGCATAAACGCGCCGAAACGCAAGCAAGCAAACAACAGTGGCTGCTCTGGCCGTCGTGATCACTGGCTGATTCCTGGAGATGCGGACTGACATTCCGCTTCAATTGCGCAGCCTTTCTATGATTTGCTGCCGCTCCGAGAGGCACCGAGGGCCAAGACCTAATACAGTTTTGTTAACCTTCTAAACCGGCCCTTTGAACTAAGAACGGTTTAGGGCTTACGTATGGTTGCGTGACACCCAGGTGCTGCTGTTATCGAGTCGTGGTCTTGACATTCAGTGCCGGCAGCCACAGGATAAATCAACTAAGTCCCGCATCCGTTATGTTCAGGACATTCCGGGACCTGGCCATGTAAGCAAGCAGCTGTACTTCAACCTGCCGGAAAACTTGGGCCATGGAACACGTGCAATCTGAGGCTGCAGGTTCGACCGCGACTTGTGCTGGCACAGCGCCTGCTTTTTATAATTCTGCGAGGGTACCTGCACTTGAGCAGGTGAGCGCCCGACAAGTCGCGGACAAAATCTGCGACAGAACAAAGATCCACTGATCAGTCTTCTGATGCCTAGCCACTTCGGCGTACTGTTGGCTGTCCAGCATTCGGGGTACACGTACACCAGGGAGACTTGAACAATGAGCGAAGGATTTTCGACGTTTTCGTCCAGGGATGTGTATTGAATTGGCTGATGACTGCAGGAGCAGTCCTTTAATTCAATGTTAATGTGATGTCGATGTTATTGCTGATTATGGTGGCAAGCATGAAAAGAATGAAAGGGGTGATGATGTTCCTACACCGCCTGTCACTGGGTTGCTGAATGTTCCGGGTGCATGATTTACAGTGCTTAGAGGTCTTTGGCATGAGCCTACGAATTAGTGCTACATCGACGTCCTTGTTGACTGAAGCTCCAAGACGAGTCCGCTTCCTTATTCAACGAACGACCGAAGCGGTGCAGGATCGAGCTTTGCTCGAAGTGTCGCCAACCAGGGATCGTGCACAAGAGCCGTCCAAAAACTGTCATCCAAAGAAGTATCATTCTCAAAATGCGGGGGACATTATCAGGGTCCTTGTCAGGTCTCTCAAGCTCTGACGCGGATAGTCGCAATAGTGGTGGCTGTATTGGAACTATATAAGCTCCAAGGCAAAGGCTTTGGGCATGTACTTGACTACCTATGGGGGGAGAGGCATGCGGCTCAACACAGCACCCACACATTAAATTATTCCGGAAGAGACCCCAAATAGCTCCTGCATGCCTGGAGAAAGGGGTGCACGACCTGTGGACGTAGTCAGAACCCTTGCTGTTCAAGCTATCAGGGGCAAACGCACGACAGCGTAGAACAAGCGCTTGGAAAATAGCACCGCTCAGAATTGCAATTAATGTATGGGAAACATCTGCATGATCTGTGTCATTCATGGCCATCGAATAAGACTGAGCTGTTTATTTACTTTCGGCAGCACTCTCCACGCTGCTGAAGGATTGGGTGCCACAGTTTACCGACTTGGACTGATCCCGAAACAATAGGATTCCACACCTCGCGTGCCCTTCGTGCAGAAATCTAAATGGCCAGTTCATGAAAACTATCTCTCATGCCCGTGATCTACTTTGACGGACACCCCCCCAAACTTGTGCCGCTGAGGTCACGTGTTCTATTCAGGAACCACTTCTCCTGTTCTATGCGATGTTTCGATCTCTCTGTCTTAGAGAAGAATCAAACGACCAGTCATAGGAACATGGTACCAACTTGGTGTCAAAATATCATCCATCTATCATCGATCCTGGTTACTGGCTCCAGGTTCGGGACCTGAACCTAAGTGGGCTTATGAGGGCATTCGTTTAAAAGAGAGTAGCCGTGGATTTGTTGTAGAATGCAACTCGAGGGCGGACGACAGTCTGGAGGCAAAAGTCCAAACTGTACAGCTGATGACTGCAGTTGCGTCGCAGTTGCACTTGTCAGAACAAGATGATCTGTGCAGCGCACAGGATTTGGCACTGTACTGATCTCGCCGCAGACCGCAGGTTGGAGCGCAAGGAGCTCAAGCAGCTCGGCCCCTCTAAGCGGTTAGCAAGGAGCCTCCGGGGCCTTGGCGCCAGGCCGCAAGGCAAAGTAAGCGCATTTGGTAAATTCCGCCTGTGCTGAGCTGAGGCCCGCTCGTCGGCCTCAATACGACGCGCAGGCTGCCCATCCTGGAATTCATTTTAAAATCTCCGTGAATTTCAAAGAGCGCCGGCAAAAAATGTCAGCCTCAACGATGATACCGCCGCCTTCCGCAGCGATGGCCTCTGCACTTGGTCGGACTCTGAAGCTGTCTCGTGAACCCGATGCCAGCACGTTCTAACTGGTCTGTGGCGATGGCAATGAAACCTCGTTTCGTTAGCTGCAGCTGCGGACGAGCCTGGCAAACAAAAATAGCAAGCAATTGGTATATAGCTTCTCGCTCGTGGCTTGGCTCAGCAGGGGAGAAAACCAAAGCTCTGCGGTCTTAACTAATGACGTAGTGCAGTCAGCAGCTGAAGCTCCGAGATTCGATGCCTCTGTCCACCGCTTGCATGCAGGTCGGAGAACGAACCTTTCATGACGTTCTGCAAAGTCTCCAAAATCAGGCGAAGGACGGGTGTGCGATGGTCAATGGTGCGCGGTCATCTCCCGTACCCGAAACGGTGGCCTGTCGCCACAATGTTCGACTCGATAAGAGCTTTGTTGGGCCAACGAATCCTGCACGGCAGAAGCGATCAACTACTGAAAGTGTCAAAAGTACTGGGAAGCACCATCTCATCAACGTTCGCTGCTCTGGGCCTGTGTGATTGGCGTTCTGCGGGGGCGCTGCCGCAACTCATCGGTCCACTTGCCACACTGCAAGGCCTTTTTGCTGCTAAAATTATGCACATGCCAAGCAACATCAGCACTTCCACAAATTTGCCGGAGGCCCTGGCACCTCGAACGGCGAAACTACCCCGACACCACATGGGCGTCGCCTGCCACAGAAGCGCGCCTGCACAAGAACTCAACTTATCAAGAATCAGGCCTCGTCACTGGCCCGAAAATTGAAATGAGCCAGTGTTGAACCTGAAAGGCACATTTCGGGAGCGAAACTCGAAGCATCAGGGCGAGCTCGAGTGGCACTGGGCGCGGCCTGGAGAAAGCTGCAGCTCCAGCATGGTTCCTCGGAGTGCCATCGCTTCCCCGAGCCCACGCTGAACTCTGCAAGTCTATAAGGTTCAGTAAGGGACTACGGCACACGAAGTCCCTACAGGCAAGACGGTTTTCCTGCCAGCAGCCAATGCTGGATCAAGGCCTTAAATGGCCCCAGTCGGTTCAGGGATGCAGTCACGGTCAAAGCCATCAGCGCATCACAGCTCAGCTTTCTCAGGGATACTACTTTCTTTGTTGGCTTTGAAGACCGTGATCAGCACCGAAGCTTCTCTGTCGAGCGGTGCCAGCTTTCTACCGTACATTACATCTCGCTCAAGCACTCTCCACAGGCCTCGTCCCGAAGTGTCGTGGAACAAGGCAAAAGTCGTACGGAGGGGGAAGCTTTTAGCTTCAAAGCGAGGCTCCGGTCGACGAAGACTCTTAGCCCCGTGCGCCACCTGGATGGCGAGGTCGTTCCGCCTGTGCCAACCTCGTTTGGTCGACAGACCTTGAAGAAAAGGGAGCACGGGGTCGTGGTGTACAACAGGCTCGCCACTCAGAACTTCCGGTCCGGGTAGCGCCTTCACCTTCGGCTTGATCGTCTGCTTGACGAAGCGGGCGTCGTACTTGTAGCTCCATTCCCCGGCCTCCAGGGTTCGGCGAAAGTGTTGGCAGTCCATATTCTTCGTACCACAGTCAACGAACATGTTCTCGGTCGCCGTCCATCGCAAGGAAGTGTTAGGGCGACCCAGCATGTTCCTTAGCCAACTCACAGAAAACGCCAGACTCTTCTGGCTGCCGTACGAGGGGGTGTCGGAGTTGCCCTTGTCGTAGCAGTCCTTGGCGTCCGTCACCACCACGAGGCCCACGGTGTTGAGGATGTGGTCCACGCCACGGTGGCTGAGGTCGTACCCGAGCACTTCAGCCCAGTGACCCCTGCAGTACTGCCCCACGTCGAAGGCTTCCTCAACACCAAGCAGCTCAGCAGCGAAGGTTGAGCGGCAAACTCTTTGAAGTCGGTGGCTGCGGTGGTCAAGAAGCGTAAACCGGCCTGTCCCTCCGTTCAGAAGGGCCTTCTCCGCGAGGAGGACACTGTAGCAGGCCTGAGAGAAAACACGCTTCAGGGGTTGCTCCCCTTCACACCCTTCACGAGTGACGTTTCCGAGGCTAGCGTCCGTCACGACGACGATCCCGGCGCCCTCCAAGTTCAGAGGAAAGAACTTTAAAGCAAAGTCCCCCGTTGCCTTGAACTCCTTCACGAGGTTGTTGGCGCGGAGGAGGGTCTGGACGCAAGCTGTCTCGCCTTGAAGCACCGACAGTTGAAACCCCATGTCCACTCTTACTTGAGCCACCAACCACTGGAGAGAGCCCACAAGAGCTCTCAGTTGCTTCATCTCACCCGGAGTAAGAGAAGCATCCAAGTCCCTGCGACGCGAACTCGCCACTCGGATGGGGGCCAGATTCTCGTGGTAGGCCTTCATCGAAAGCCTCACCACCCCAGTGACCGGGTCTTGTTCCACACGCTTCCCGCAGTAGTTGAAGGCGTCCTTTTCGACTGAGCCGAAGCCAAGCTCTTTCCCGAGCCTCTCAATCGAGGCCCAGGCTGCGTCGCTGCCAGAGAACAACAAGTCGTCCACGTGGCAGCAGAGAACTCCTTCCAGCTTCGGGTTAGGCCCCTTCGACCATAGAAAGAAGGTGGCGGCATCCATGGAGGAGGCTACCCACGACTCCTTAGTCAGACTTTTGCGCAAGCGGAGGAACCACTCACGCGGGGCGTCGCTCAGGCCGAATACCCCTTTGACAATACGGCTCAGTCGCTTGCCAACGGGAAGAGTCGGGCTCCCGCCTCTGGAGTCCATGTTCTGCAGGTAGAGCTCTCTGACTCCATCCATGTATCGTTCCCCTTTAAGGAACGCACTCTTGACATCTGCGGAGCCCATGCGCCAGCCGTTCTTGTAGTTGCTGGCCGCCAAGGAGAACAGCACGTGTTGGGAGGTTCGGCTCGCCGTCGGGGCGTCCTTTCGTAGCTCAAGCGCCGTCAAGTCCTTGTACCCAGGTACCACGAGACGCGCCGAGGCGCGTATGGGGAGCTGGTTGTTGTCTGTCCTGAGGCCGTCGTTCTTGTCAGTGAAGACGTAACGAGGTGTCAGCACTTTGTGCACCTCGCCTCGCTGCCGCAGCGTCGCCCACACTCGGGCCGTTTCCTCCTCGGACAGAACCTCCACGGCGTCGTTGCGAAGCCAGACGTCCCAGGCCTCCTTGGCTGCCTCGGTAAAAGCTTCTCGCTGTTCACCGTCCATCTGGTTCCAGTGGTACTCCTTGCGAGCGGCCTGCACGGCAAAGGTGTCGTTGCTGGAAGGCCACCGAAGGCCAGCCTTCACAAAAGCTTTGTGCTGGGAGCGGCTGGGAAAAGGCCAGCGTCCGTCCCAAGTGCCGTGGTCGCGGGCTTCAAAGGAGCTGCCCGCTTCTCGGTCCAAGGCCGCTTGCGCCTGTAGCTTCACCAAAGGGTGCACCTCGCCGGTGCTTGCTTGAGCAGCAGCTAAAACTTGTTCCCTCTCGAGGACCAAGGCGTCAAAGGGTACTCCTTCACGGTCAGGAGGAGTCTCGCCTTGCCGTAGAGCCTCCGCCTCAGTCTCAGCAGGTCGCTTGGTGCCTGCCGTGCTCTCACCCAAGGAGAGGCCCAAAGCTGTCAAAGTCCCCGGCCCACGGTGGGAACTTTCTGAAGCCACCGGCCCCATCACAGTTGATGGCCTTCTGGAGACCACTGGCGTACTTGACGAAGCTGCTCTCACGAACTCGTTGGGGGACACTGGAGGTAAGTCTTGACCCCTCTGCTCACGCATCCTAGCCATGGTGTCCCTCAGCGTCTTCTGGAAAGGCACAGCATCTTCTAAAAGGGCCCCACGTGGTTCTGGAACTGCAGGTTGTTCCGAAAGTCCAGCGCCATCGTCTAAGCCGGGCGCTCTGGGCCCGAGCTCCTCAGCTTGAGGACGTAGTTCTGAATCGTCACCCGGGGCCCCACCAAGAGGTTCTGGAACTGCAGGTTGTTCAGAAAGTCCAGGGCCATCGACCCCCCCGGCATCATCCTCGGCGATCTCTTCTCGCGGCTGAACCATTTCCCATTCCTGGTCTCGTTCAGCCGCTTCCACCACTTCTTGAATCACTGACTGCCACTCTCCCGAGGACAATTGTTCCATCGGAGAAGCCCGCCTTACGTGTTCCAGGGAAACTTTGGTGAGGGTTCCACGCGAGGTGACGTAACAGTTTGCCCCTTCAAAGGCCACAAGCAGGGCAGGACCATGCCATTTACGAAGAAGAAGGCGGCGTGCGCTGTGGCCGCCCCGCTTGTTGTACTTCTGCTCGCGCCAGTAGTAGATGAGGTCCCCGACAACCGGCGCGGCCGCTATGGTGGGGTTCCGAGACCTCGCTTGTTCAGCCCTCCGAAGTGACCGGCTGAAGTGGAGCCTCAGCATAGCCATCCGAGCTGTCTCCCGAATAGCCACCAGCCGTGCAAAGTTGGGCTCTTCAAGGGCGTCCGTCTCTGCCAGGTTGTTCTTCAAGGCGTCGCCGGGCAACAGAGGTTGTCGCCCCACCGCGGCTTGCATCGGAGAGAAGCCACTGTCACCCACATCCATGTTGTATGCGGTAACTGCCTCCCCCAGGCCCACGGCCATCTCAGATCGTCCCATCAAGGACTTGGCCGCAGTGCATGCAGCCAGCAGGGTTTTGATGATCCCGCCGGTCTTCTCACAGAGTCCGTTTTGCCACGGAGCCTGCACCCCGATGTGGTAGAGGAAGATGCCGCTCTCCTCCGCGAAGGCCTCCAGCTCAATGCTTATGAACTCTCGGCCCTGGTCACAGACAAGAGTCCGTGGCATCCCGAACACCGGCGCCCAACGCTCCTTGATGAAGCGGATCACCTCAGCACTCGACTTGTTCTCCACCAGGACAGCCATCTTAAACTTCGTTGTGGCGTCGACGGCGTGCAACACAGAGAACCGAGTCCCCACGGCATCAAAGACGTCAAGGATGTCGATGGCCACCTGGTCACCTGGCTCCCTTGCTCCCGGTAAGGAGGCTGGTCGCCTCGCCTTCGGAGGCTTCTTCTCATCACACACAGAGCACCGCAGCTGCTTAGCTGCCAGCACTGCTTCCGCAGGGGCACCGGCAATCAACAATGCCCGGGCCAGCCTTTGTGGGCTTCGATGGCCCGTGTTCTCGTGAAGCCTCCGCACAGCCTGTCGCACAGCGGCCGTGACCGGGACTTCCTTCTCGGCCGGCTCCTTTCCCTCTGCCTCAATCTCAAACTCCGAGCCCTCGGGGATCGTTAAAAGGTCCTCGTCGTCCCCGGTCTCGGCCGCCAGCACCTCAGTCGCCTTCTCGGGGGCCATGTCCAGCTCAAACTGTCGCTCCATCGCCCTTAGCACGGCCAAAGAGAGCCCTGCCGTCGAGCCGGTAGAAGAGAACACCGCCGCAACCTCTGGGCTTGAAGTCACGTAATGGCAGCCATCCTTGGAGAACTCGATGACCCCCGGCTCGTCCAGCAACTCCTGGCCTTCAGCACTGCGTTTCGGCACGGCTCCGCGGCGAAACTCGAAGAGAAAATGCCGGCCGGACCGCCAATGGGCCAGCGCTTGCGTCAGCAGTCGCCCCTCGGATTCCAAGGTTTTTTGTTGATTGGCGAGTCTGGCCGTGGCAGGGGCAAAGTGGAGCAAAGGAGAAAAGCCACCCGTCGAGACCACAAGAAAGAAGGGACGACCAGTTTGGTCGCCGTTTGTGCCAACGAGGTGCCCGTAGTCGCGGGCGCAGTTATAGATAGCACCCGTGAGGCCACGCAAAGCCGAGGAACGTGCCGTTGTAACCACATCAAGGAAGGGCTCGGCTAGGGCGTTGTCATAGTCCTGGGCCACCGTGACCTCGAGGGCAGCATGAAGCTGTTGCGGGCTGACCTGAATCAGCTTGCGATCGTGCTTGCACTTGTTCCAGGCTTGGGCAATGACTTGTCGTTGCCCCGGTTTCAAGGATTGCCGCAGAGGGGGAATCACAGGTCCTCCTCCTGGTCCGTCACATGTTGAAAGCTCATATCGCTGTCCGGAGAGAGGCCACCTTCCCCAGCCTGTTGCGAGGCCAACTGCATCATGTGCGTCATGGCCTGCGTCAGCATGGCCTCGAACCTTTGGTCCCGAGCCTGGTCCCGTGCATCCATCATGCCGTGCACTTGCTGAAGAAGTTCGTGATAAGAGGGTTGTTCCACGGGCATGGGGCCCGCCGACATCGTCACTTCCGCGGGAGGCGCCACAGCTTGAGGAGGTAGTACGGGAGGTGCGGCCGCCATTGTGGATCCCGTCGCGCGGTCCCCCGTCGTGCTCGAGGGCATTGGTATCCCCTTTAAGGTGTCGACCATGGGGCGCAGCTTTGCCTTGAGCTTGTCGACGGTGTCGTTGCTGGCGATCGTCACGTTGAGCAAGGTCGCCAGCCGGATAAGGTCCTGCTTCAAGGTAGGCACCCCGCCCTTTGGCCCAAGTAGTTGCCTTGCTGCCCGAAGGTCCTCGCCTTGTCGTCGCTTCTCGGCCGCCTCCTCCTTCATCTTGGCCACCAACTGGCCTTGCAACGCCGCCTTGGCTCCTTTGACGCTCCGGGTGGCCAGCATCCCTTCTAGGAGAGGGTCCTCGAGGAAGGCCGCCTTGACACCCATGCGATCGCGGAGGTAGCCGCAATCCTTCAGGAGGGTGAGGTCCTCGAACTTGTTCGAGTGCACGGCCTGCCGAAAATGACGTCGAGGCAGGGCTTGGTTCTTCACCATGGTTTCGGCTTGCTGCCGCCACTCTGCTGTGCTCTTCACGCTGCTGTACGGTAGCGGCACGAAGCGCAATCCCGGCCGCTGAAGCAACCAAAGCAGTAAACCATGGAAATGCCATACGTTTCGGTCTAGCACCCGCAAGCACATGCGGCGGAACCTTTGCACGACCCTTCCGGTCCTTGCCTCGGCTTGGGCTCCTTGAAGCATTGGAGGAAGAGCCCAAGGTTCGCGATGACATCGGGGAGCCCAGCTTAGGTCTCGAGAGGTCACCGCCACCATGGTGTGGTTTCGCTTCGGCTTCCAGATGCTCATGAAAACTCACATGCGACATGCCCGGCTTAACAGCAGCTGCCTTACGAACTTGCCACTGCCCTGCACGAACTTGCACTTCAATCACCCCGTCCTGGCCTTGTCTGGTCCAGCCTCGCGGGCTGATCCTCGCGACGTTCTCGGGGAGGATGTCCAGGAAGAGATGGCCTGCCATGAGCTGCTTAAGAGGCACGCGCTTTGCATCCAGGTAGTCGGCTCGAAGCGCCCTCCTGGTAAAACTGATCACTCCCCCGATGGCCTCGAGAAAATCTCGTCCGAGGAGAAGTCCCAGCGACTCGACCTCCACAACGCTGGTCCAGACAAGTATCAAGGAGTCACCGACACGCATGGGGAGCCGATATCTCTCCTGGCTGGCCTTGGTCCCGTCGTTGCCGAACTTGAAGGTCTCTGTCTCGTTCTCGGTGGCGACAAGGCCCCCCAACACCTTCCAGGAGGGAGCTTTGCGCAACGACGACAGATAGCATTCCAGCCAGGGTCTCCCGCAAACCGTTCTATTGCAAGCCGAGTCTAAAGCTCCAACGTTCTTTTTGTCCTTTGCCATGGTGCCGATCAGGGCTTCATGCGGGGCACTCGCAGCCAAAGCCTCTTCAAGAGTGGTCACAACGGCCGTCTCATGCACATGCTGGCCCTCCTCCTCCTCCACGGTCTCCGCGGCAAAGGTCTCGACCAGCTGCACCCGCCGCTGAGGAGAGGCATTGCCCGACATCGCACCTCCGCTTCCTCGGCCAGCTCCCTTAGGTTTTGCAAGTCCAGCCCCGGGCCGGCCACAGGCAGCGTCGCCTGCCCAATGGCCCGTCTGGCCGCAGTCAAAGCACACCCCTTTCTTCTTCATCGGTGGGCCGCCGCTCCGTGCACCGCCTGCGGCCCCATGAGCTCCTTGGCCAGCTCGTCCGAAACCACGGTCTCGACGAACTTCCTGCAACTTCGTCTTCGCGTCCCTCATGGAGATCAGCGCCTCCGCGGCTGTCTCCACCGACCCCTCGACTTCATCGAGAGTCGATGGATCGATGCCCTCTTGCTCGGCAGCCTCAAGTTCAGCTGCCAGCGCCTCGGCTTCAGCCTCCAGAACCTCGTCCAGGCCAACGCCCTCGCCCCCGTCATCTGCAACCAACTCCTCTTCATCGGCACCATCATCGGCCTCGGTCTCGTAGTCGGGCTCGGCAGAGTAGGCTTGCCTAGCTTGAGGCGAGAAAGGAGCCCTCCTGACAAACATCCCGGCTCGGTCTCGGCCTTGGCCCTTTCTTGCCTGCACCGGGGAGGTAGACGCCGCCGAGGAGGGGGCCCGCGAAGGCAAGGAAGAAGACGCCCAGGAACGGCCGCCAAAAGTCGAAACACTGGACCCTGAGAAGCCCTTGCCGCGGCCCTTGTCCAAACCAAGCTTCCTAACCAAAGGGTCGCTAGCATGCAAGTCCTTGAACAGTCGCAGGGCTTCCGCTTCTACTTCCTCATAGCCTTCTTTGCCCTGAAGAGCAGTCTCAAGCAACTGCTTCCTCAACGGATCCAGCCCAAGCTTTTCACGAAGAAACCAACCAAGCTCACCGGACGGCAAGTTGATCCCCTCAGCCCGAAGCTCTGCAGTCAGGGAACGGAAGCGGCTCATGAAGTCGGCCGGCCGCTCTCCAGGCTTCCGGTGAAGGTTGAGGTAGAACTGGTTCCTCAACTCCCCTTTTCGATCCAAAGCAGACTTGCCATTGATGCTCTCCAGGGCCTTCAGCAGCTTCGTGATACCGGCAAAGGGGTCCTCCTGGGTGACGACGATCTCCACGCCGTCAGGGTCCCTTGCGCGAACCTCGGGCTGGAACTCCAGCTCCTTTGGGGAAAATTCCTCTCCCCTTTGCCTCACGACGCCACTCTGTCTGAGCAGCCACCTCGCCGCCAGATTGTACTTCTTTGTGCTCTCCACGTCCAGAGAGCACAGCCACCACTGCATCTCCTTCTCGAACGACCTCCAGGTGGTGGGGCACCCGTCCCAGGTAGGAACTCGGTACCAGGCCGACGTCGTCTTGTCATCTTCGGCCATTGTCCTTGCAAAGTAACCAGCAGGTTCTCAGAAAAGGGGCAGCACAGCCAGCCGCCACGAAGTACTCAAGGGAAACGAAGAAGGGCAGCCTAGCCGCTGCCAAAGGTTGGACCTGAGGCCCCTGCAGAAAAGGTTCTCGAAGGGCAGCCTAGCCGCTGCCAAAGGTCGGACCCTAAGGTCCTGCAGAAAAGGTTCTCGAAGGGCAGGCTAGCTCCTGCCAAAGGTTTGCACCCCGTCCAAGGGCCCACAAAGCTGGAGCAGTCCAGACAGCCAAGGGTGCAGCCCGCTCAGAGGCCAAAAGTCTTCCAAAGAAAAGGCCTCTGGGGCAAAGGCCGGCAGCTCGAAGTCGCCGTACAGAAGCCCACCGAAGGAGAGCCCTCTGAAGTAGTGCAACCCGCTGCCGTAGAGGTAATCGAAAAAGAGCAGAAGCAAAGCTATTGCGGATGCGCAGCGAAGGATCTTCAGGCTCCGGTGCCACTAAGGGACTACGGCACACGAAGTCCCTACAGGCAAGACGGTTTTCCTGCCAGCAGCCAATGCTGGATCAAGGCCTTAAATGGCCCCAGTCGGTTCAGGGATGCAGTCACGGTCAAAGCCATCAGCGCATCACAGCTCAGCTTTCTCATTCAGTAAGGCCAGCTCCGTAGAATGTGTGCCGCAACAGCATGAAGTTCACGCCTTCGTGCCGATATGTCGATGCTAAACAGCGGAGCTCGTTGGCACAGTCCTGGCCTATAGGAGAGCATACGTTTGCCAAAACGTCCCACATCTCCGACCTGTCGCAGCGCAATGCATGCAGAACAATGTCATGAGGTGTCCTTAGTTTCAGCCGGGTGTGTACTCTGAAACCAGCAATCAAAAAATGCACTAGATCAGTTCACATACTTGGACCGTGACCAGTTCCCGCCAACATGTGGCTTCTGCCAGTTCGATGCTTTCAGGGAAGTACTCCCGATTCCCGATCATTTCGGGATTCTATACCTACGCGGCTCCATGTGGCTGCCACTTTTGGCGGGTGGGCGAAGGAGGTTGGGGGTAGGGGGTGCAAATAACATTTCTTTTGGTGGATGTGCATGGCCCTGTGGCAAACCTTAGGAGCTTGACAGCTCGGCGGATCTGGGCTGCAAAGCAGTCCAAAATTCCCTCTGGGGCTTAGGCAGGTGGAGCGTGGACAGTGGGTTGGCCTCGACCGGCAGGCGCAAACGAGGCAGCTTTGGCGATCCGCATGGCAATTTAAGCGCAGAGCGCTCAAGTCGGCGTTCCCCCATCCACGCTTGTCCACCAAAGCCTCAGAACGAAGTGTCGGCTCTAAACTGCTACAGAAAATGCATCTGAATGCCCTCTCCGATTCACTCCGTATCCTTGTAGCCTCCCGCATGCTGTGCCACACACCCGACATGACCAGGTGCCGTGCTGGCAAGTACATCCGCACCCATAACTCTGCCTGCCACTCATTTAAACGCTCTGCCTCAAGCGAACTCAAACAACAGCAGCGCACCTCATGTGAAGAATACAGAAGCTGGCTCAGCCTGCACAACACGATCAAAGCTGTGCACTGGTTGGAAGGAGTTAACCCCGCAACCAGCGGGCGTACATGCAGTCGCCATATCACCTGCAAGGAAAAACAAGCCCTGAGGTGCGGACGAGGCAGCTCTCAGGTAGCTAAGAACCTTCCATAGCCAATGTCATGAACGGTTGTTCACCGGGACGTGCCGGCATGCAAAAAGCCAAGGTGGCAGCATTGAGCAGTAAATCAGCCTGCCAAGGAAAGGCAAGGTTGCTACAGCGTTTTCCAAGGTTGCGCAGTGCAGTCTGCCAACTGCAAGCCCCCCCCCCC